ATTTAATAATTCAATCATTAGAGTTTGCTCTAAATAATTGTAAACTGCTTTTTTTTTCCCCTTGTAAAACAATTCATTATTTTAAGGGATTGTTTTACCCAAATTATTGCATTGTTTAAAGAAGTGTTTTTGCACAATAAAATTACTTTCTTACTTAAAATTGTAAGGTACAATTTCTATACCTTCTCTGTAATTGTTGATTATGTTAATTTTACAAATAACAAAGTAACAGAGAATGCTTTATATTTTCAATAAGAATTTTAAAACAGTTCAGATAGTCATAGTTATTTCTGTAGAATATTATGACCTGCAATGTAAAGGCATTGTTTCTGCCCACTTCATCTTCTAGAGATCTTATCTGGGGCAAGAGGATCTTGCTAATAACTCTGGCCTTGTCATTACCACATAGATTATTGCAATGCGCTCTTAGAGGGCTGCCTTTAAAGATGACTTGAAAACAGTTGGTTCCGAGTGCAGTGGCCTATATGTTAGCTTGTTGATAGCATTACTTTAGACCTCAACTATGAGTTCTACACTGGTTACCAACAGACTTCCAGATGCAATTTAAAGTACTTGACAGTCCTAGGAAGATGATAATAATAATTATCATTGGCACCAATGATTGGAGCTCTGAGAATTATTGGCTGGTCTGCTTAATTTGTCCCAAGTATGTTGAAATAAATAATAATAATAATTTAAAAATACACAAGCATTTTTTCCTCCTAAAGAAAAAATCAGGATAGATTTTGCAAAGATCAACTCTCCTAATCTAGATCCATGACTGGAGAATATCTTGCTGACAGTGTAAACTTTGAATTTAAAAAAGTCTTTGATAAAATTCCTTATCAAAGTTTATTAAATAAAATAACATTTTATGGATTGGAATTGGTTTAAAAATTGAAGCCATTTTTATTTTTAAGCCCAAAACTACAATTTTCTATATTTGCCAGTATTATTGAATTGAGAATCACTAGAGGGCACTGTCTTATTTGTTGATACAGAGGGCTTGGCATTATACAGTGAAAATCTAAGCATAATTTTTACTGAAAATGATATTATTCATGTTTCCCACTCAGTTTATTTCAAAATTCTAAATCAGATCTATAACTTTTTCTGATTTTATAATTCACCTTTAAGATTCTGGAAACTATAGACATAGTCTTTTCCTATTTACTATTTATTGAAAATGTGTTCAATGGATTGTGTATACTCCAGCAAATATGCTGGTTTATAGGATTGCTGCTCCATAGCAATCTAGGCCAGTGGTTCCTAACCTTTTGGGCACAAGGGAGAGAGGTTTTCCCTTGGACCAGAGGGGGTGTGGTTTTGTGTTCTACCTGCATTCCATGGATGGGGCTTTACTTATTTTTGGGGCCTAGTTTCTGGAACTCCGTGAACTGGTGCCGGTCCATGGACCAGGGGTTGGGGACCCCTGATATAGAGACAGGTCATATAATTTTGCAGATGGAAAAGTGATATCTCCAAATCATTCCATTTCAAAAATGGAAATTATAAAGATCAATGAGCACCTTCATGACTTAGAAAGTGCATAAAATAGACATGAAAACATTTCCATTTGCAGCTGTTATAAAAAAAGATAAAAAATGTATTTATAATAAAGGAATCCATAACTTACTTGTTCCTTTGGCTTAACATTCATTGAATAGAAAAAACAGGAGTAGAAACAATTATGTCATGAAGACTACATTGTGTAACAACAATTGCCATAAATGTTTTTCAAATGAATCATTTAGGTTGCAATCCTATGCAACACTCAATCCAGGGACATGTCTAATGGAGAAATCAGGATGAGGGTTGTGTTACCAACGAAGACAAATGGTTGCATACTGAAGGAGGATACTATGCTTAATGAACTGGGTGAATAGTTAGTATGGAAGCTGCAAGTCTTTCTGCCTTAGATATGCTTATGCCAATAATTTATAATATCTGCAGCATGCAATTTGGCTATTACAATACACTCTATTATGCTGCTTTTGAAAATGAAAATTGAAACTAGTCCAATATGCAGCACCTTAGTTGCTAATGCGGGTGAGTAAGTTTACCAGTATAGTTTCAATGCTATGGTTGCAATACTGGTTATCAATAGGTTTCCAGGTCAAATTTAAGTGGCAATGTTAACCTGCATTGGCTCTGTATCTTCAGGACTAACTTTTCCACAATCAGTCAAGAAATCAATTTTTCCATCCTGTGCTTTCACCCAGAGAGGAGTTGCTGAGGATAATGGGATGAAGGGGATTGGTGGCCTGAAGGCAATCTTCAGCGGCAGCTTCCACATTTGTGGAGCAGCTGACATCCTGGCATTTGTGTGGATCCCAATCTGCTGATCTTGCTCATAGTCATTTAAGACCAAATTATTCTGCAGACAGTGTGGAAAATCATGCTAGTAATAGGATGATTTCTGAAGTTTTGTTAATGTTTTTATTTATGGTATTGGTATGGGTTTTTAAAAACAAATGGGATTAGGCTTTGCTCGTTCTACAATATTTATTCTTTTCATTGTTAACTGCCTACAGTTTCGAAAATAGATAGTGTGCACATTTTGTATGTAGGTATAGTGATACTTAAAATATGTGAACGCTTTTGGATTGTTAGTATTTCTACATAAATATGACTTAAAATGTTATTCTGTACAAGTCCTAAAATTAGATAAGGAGAACCTAATTAAATCAGTGAGTCCAAATGCATAAGTGCACCATACCGTCCCTGTCCTATTGTCCCCATTTATTCGTACCTATTTCCTGTATTCTTACTCATGTTTATACTTATATCTATTATCTTGTAAGTAAGCGATTGACAAATCAAATCAAATCAAATCAAAATAAAAAATAATTATACTTGTTTATTTATTGTTGTGGAAAATTATCTTGGTTTTGCCAGGATGGGATCTGAGCCCAGCCACAATCTCAACTCCAGGATAATGCCTCAGAATCTAGGAGTGCTATCCCAGCCAGCCAAGGAGATTAACATGAGCAGCGGAATATTCAAGAGAACTAAATGTTGTGTTCAAAGCGTATTGCATCTCCACAAATATTTCAGTAGGCCTATCACAACAAAGCTGCAAAAATCCAGACTATTACTAGCTAATAACGAAGAGCTGTGTTGACTTCAGGCTATGGTTGAGTATGCACTGGCCTAGGACACCAAATTTTGAATCATTCTAAAAATGCAAAGTTTATCAGCAGGAGATGGCGCCATCAGTCAATGTGGTCCATGGAACGTATATGGTACCATATATCCATGAGCCAGGTCTAGCAAGAAGATAAATGCTGTAAACCTGCAGTTGTTTAGTGCCATCATGTGGTCATTTGGGTTTTTGCAAACCATATATAACACTGGCATGTGTGATAAAATTGACAGAACAAGAATCATAGAAATAGTATCTAGTAATAAAGGTCTCTAAACAGTGTGGTTTTCATTCATTTTCCTAGTTGCTGTTGCTGTGTATGTCCTCGTAGTGTAATAGGAGATGGGGATGAAGGAAAAAAAAAACTATTTCTATCTTCAATTGACTGAGTATCTAATGCTTACTAGGCATGCGTAACTTGGTTTGATTTGAAAATTATTTTGCATACAATGTAACAGCACAATAGGAAATAGGAAGTGTTCCAGTTATTGAAAATTGCTTTATTACAGAAAAAGCTTTCCAGATACTAACTTTAAAAAAAACTTTTTAAAAAACCTTTGCCTGGGTCTTTTGGGAAATTAAGATATGAGTTAATCTTAATAAGTATGTAAATTTACATGAAATAATGCATCACATTTTACTTTTGGTTTTCTGATCACACTATCCCAAGTAGGTTTCAGCATGCAACCTACTTTAAATCCTGATTGGAGAACAAAGATTGAAGCTTTTTTTTTTTTTTAACCAGACAAGACCTTGGAAATGTTACTAGCACAATGTGATAACTTTGAGAAGCAAGTTTCAGAAAGAATTGTAGGGCCTTTCTCCACTTGCACATAATCATGGCATAAATAATTCACTAGAAACATCTTTTTTCAGCTATGTTCTCATGACATTGTCTTCATATTGGTCACCCATAACTGAGACAGCCTTAGCTGAAATGACATTTTCTCTAGTATCAAGTGCAGCTCCAGTATGTATATATAGAAGACTGTGCCAGCCTTTAACTTGAAGGAAACCAGAGGTTTGCAGTGACTTTAAATATTATCTGCAAGTTTCCCAGCAATGGAGATAGCAAATTTATGCTGGGAGAGCTTTTTCCAACTTAAGAGGAAAGCATTTCAGTTTAGAAAGGCCTTATGGCTGTAAATTATTAGGGTCGTATTAATGACCATTTGATCGCACAATTACATATTTTATTTGATGCTGATGCTGAGTACTATTAAATCATCTATATGAAATCAATGTTTGTGAGAAAGCTATGGAATGTTTTTGGGAAAAACTGGTGTAAGCAGAAATATTGAAAATTACAAGCCCTGTAGGCAGGTATTTCAATCGCAAGTCTAAATATGCTCTTAAAAAGTTTATTTTTGAAAGTTTCTTGTATTTCTTAACACAGTCCTTTGCCTACTAAGAACTCAACTCAGCCGGATCAATGAGATCTTAGTCACAGATCTATTTCGGGCTGCAGGCTAAGCAAAAACATTTTATAACATTATCCTATGTTAAAGGTTAATAATGATGACGCTTCATATACAGGTAGTCCTCAACTTATGACCACAATTGAGCCTAAAATTTATGTTGCTAAGTGAGAAATTTGTTAAATGAGTTTTGCCCCATTTTACAACTTTCCTCGCCAAACTTGTTAAGTGAATCACTGAAGTTCTTAAAACTAGTAACACGTTTGTTAGGCTTCACTTGCTGGAAGGTTGCAAAAGGGGATCACATGACTCTGGGACACTACAACCACCATAAAAGTGAGTCAGTTGTCAAGATCTGAATGTAAATCATGTGACCATGTTGCTGTAACAGTCGTGTCAAAAACTGTCATAAGCCACTTTTCTCAGTGCCAAATGGTCACTAAAAATTGTTGTAAGTCGAGGACTATCTGAACTTTATCAAAAGGAGGGATTGTTTTCCATGGCTGTTTTCCACCCTGAATTGTCCTCCTCCAAGTGGAGAATCTATAAGTCAATTAAGATACTCAGCTTTGCCTCGGAAAACTGATGCTACAATGCATTTTTCAGGGGCCACACACGTTTTTTGAGAAGCCACCAATGGAGCTCGGAAAAGCTTGGAAGAAAACAAGCTTAGGCAGACCGCCGTGGCTTTGAGGGGTGGGGAAAGCGTATCTCCCCCGCCCCGCACAGGCTTCTCCTGCTCGTTCGGGGTTTACCTGCAGCTTCCGCTCCCTTCCAAGGTTCCTCTCACCCTGCTAGAGGGGGAAGCGCAGAGGCGTCCAGCGATAGCTAACTAGGAAGTAGTAGGGGAAGCGGCAGGGTCCGAAAGGGAAACGGCGGGCCGACCACAGGTGCCAAAGCCCTCCAGCTCGCCGCGGCTTGGCCGACCCAATGGCTTCTCCCGCCATCGCTCTGCCCGAAGGTAAAAAAACTCGCTATGCCTCTGTCTTCGGCAACGGGCGGCCGCGCCTCAGTGCAGAGGCACGAGAGCGGTGGGCTGCGCACCCTTTGCAGACGGGGACCACGGGCACCGGAAGGAGGGCCGGGCAGAGCAAGGGAGGCGGGACCCTGGAGTGGCCTTTGCAGTGCGGCGGGGGGAGGGGGAGGGGGCTGGGCGGATTCTCTGGGTGGACAATGATCCTCCCAGCGGCTGTGTGGAGATAGCTGCTCTTCGTTGGCGGGATTCTGCCAAAGGCGAGCAGCTCTCTGCCTCTCATATTATTAGTATGACTTAATATTTGCATTGCTACTTTGCTATTTTTGGCAAAGGCAGCGTTCCTCTTAGATGAAAGTCTTTGTCCCCTGACTTGTCCGATTTGAAATTCTGTTCCTCGAAATTACTCCCCCCCCCGCGTACTATAGTGACAGAGGCACCCGAATTCGGTTTTGAAAGCGTCTCAGTGGTCTTCATATTTTGGGCTTTGTATTGAGAATGACTTTTGAGTTGTTGTTTTTTTAAGTCTTTTTTTGTGTGGAGCGCTTCATATTCTCAAAGTCTGATGAATCATTCACTCAAGTGCTAAATAAATTAAGCCCTGCAGCATCCCTCTGATGTGTAGCAAAATTGTTATAAAAGTTTGCCTTATGTTATAACTTTTGTTAATTCAACTTTATATCCTTCAGCAGGAAAAAAAAATATACCAGTCTCTGGGAGAATTTTTGATTATAAAAGCTTTAAAGTGGAAAAAAAGAGGATATTATAATTTGCACTTTTTTAGGAGGAGATTCCAATATTTAATCTAGGATAACTGACTCCCTTTTTATAGAACTTGTTGAAAATTGAAATACTGAAATGTGAATGAACAACTTAAATGGTTTCAAGATGTTTTATGCTGATGTTTATATATTCAAATAGTTTAAAAGGTTGATGTAAATTAAAACCATTTGTGAAATAAAAACTAATAAAAATATTTCCTGTTTTTTATTTAATATGGCTTCCAGACTATTGTTTATTGAGCAAAGTTGTTATATTTGAACTGACAGATGATCATCTGTCATGAACCTATGCAAGAACATGCAAGAGCAAGTCATTTTCTTTAGAATTGTTCACTCAATTGGGATAAACTAGAAAACCTTGAATTACGCCGTCTTCGGTCTGACTTAAGCATGGTATATAAAATCATACATTGCAATGTCCTACCTGTCAATGAATACTTCAGCTTCAACCATAACAACACAAGAGCACACAATAGATACAAACTCAAAGTAAACCGCACCAAACTTGATTGCAGGAAATACGACTTCAGCAATAGAGTGGTCAATGTCTGGAATACTCTACCCGACTCTATAGTCTCTTCCCCAAACCCCAAAAACTTTAACCTTAGACTGTCTACTATTGACCTCACCCCTTTCCTAAGAGGTCTGTAGGGGGCGTGCATAAGCGCACCATCGTGCCTACCGTCCCTGTCCTATTGTTTCTCTTATTCTTTTATTTTTCTTATATGTACCCTTTTCATGTATTCACAACTATGTATACACTTATACTTATTATCTTGTAAACAATTGGCAAATCAAATAAATAAATAAATAAATAAATAAAATAAACCAGAAGCGAATCCCTGTTGTGGGGTTTGCAGCAAACTGAGTATGTAATTATTAGGCAATTAAAGCACAGATAAATAAATATCTCTAAAATATTGATGACTGTAAACTTAATAACATTTTTTCGGCTTGTTTCCGGCAGATCAAGCAATTAAAGAACCAGTAGAAGACACTGACCCTAGCACTTTATCCTCAGAAAATGTAAGTACTGTCGTTTTGTGAATGTGTTGTAGTGGCTATTTTCCCAGCTAAGTGATTCTACCTAATTGACCTTGACTAAGTTTGAAAAGCTTAAGCAGAGTGGTTAACATTTGGATGAGGGTTACCAGAAAATGCAAGGATTGTGGACTACAATGTGAAGTTGAACAAACATCCTACTAGAAGGCATTGGCAACATTTTTTATGTTGCAAATAAAACTATATAGATATATCCATGAAGCTATTAGAAGCTGAGACTGATTCAAAGGAAACATTACTTCTACTAGGTCATTAATTTACTTATTTTACTTGTTGGTTTCTATTATTGTGCATAGTAGTTCATACTCACAGAAAAGCTCAATAATTAAAATGTGACAAGATACAGGCTCTGAAATAAGTTTAGACACGACTACCCAATCATTTCCTTTGAGATCTTCCCAATAGTTAATTAGTTTGCCACACAAATAGCATCTCTCTACTGCATAAAATGCTGAAGAAGAGAATATTTAGTTACTTCTGAGTTTCAGACTTCTAAAAACTATAGAATTCTGTCTGTTTTTTAATAATAAGAAAGTGTTGTAATGGGAAGTTAATGCCTGTTTCATCCAGTTACACAGGTCTCTATAAAGAATGAGTGATGCTAGTGCACTCTTCTTTTATTCAATAATCACCTATTTTTTGATGAAACTACTTGAAATGGTAACAACTAGAAAGAAAGCACTATGTGTTAATCTCTGTAATCAAGAAGGAAAATGACTATAACTAATCAATGATTCATACTTAGATAGTTCTGTTGATTCAGAGATGGGCAAATGGGCATTCCCTTTCCATTGGTTTGTGTGGATAAAAAAGAGTTGTAACCAGAAAACTCAATGGTGAGTAATGCAGTTGGAGTCATTATACAACTGCATTATCTAAGATTTGTTTGAGAACCTCTGTAGTGGTTTTATTATTTGTATTTTTATTATAGTGTCATGAATCTTGAATGAAGTTGGTCGTCAAGAATCATTCCCTTTAAAAGTATTTACTTCAAAATCTTATAGGGATGAAAGTGTTAGAAACCATTCAGTGAAAGGATTCTGAGTCAAATTATGGAAGGAGAATTTGGTGTGAGATTGCCATCTTTACCGGCAGACCCATCTCACATTTTTCATAATGTCTGCTAAACTTTCAGATAAGGGACTTGATAAATTTTCATTGGTTCCTTATTCCTACTTGGGACTGGATAAATACTGCATGTGAATTGTTGAATACTTGGCAAGTTCAGTGAACAGCTGGGAGAGACTATTCGACTTGGAAGGTTACAAATTCAGCAGAACAAAGAACTTAATAGGTCAAAATAATTGGTGTTTCAAAATGTATCTAAAATAATTGTATAAAAATATGCTTCTTTTCTACAGATAGAAAAGTATCCTGTCCAAGATACAGAATTACCCAAAGGTAAAAATAGAAAACAACAATGACTGCAGTTCTTATTTTGTAAAAAAAATATTGTAATATGCAACTGGATTAGATGGGGTCAGTGGTTGGTTTCCAATTTTTTTCCTACCTTTGAGCTGCAGGGCTCAGAGACCAACCTCTGTCGGAATGCTGGTGAACTGGGCTAAAAAACAAGGGAATATTGGAGAGGTAAGGCGGGTGCGGGTGGGCAAGGCCAGTCAGAGGTGGTATTTGTCGGTTCTCCGAACTAGTCAAAATTTCTGTTACTGGTATGCCAGAACCAGTCTGAACCGACTGAATACCATCTCTGGATAGGGCACAATAGTGAATCTTACTGTATGTCATAGACTTCATAATTTTCTAAAACTGACTCCATATATATTTGCTGAAATTCCCAGCTTTTATTAATTCTGAGACCTTCAAAATCTTCTAAGGCCAAGAATCCACCAATTAAGAAAATATCTTATGGTTTTCACTCCATCGTTCATTTTCACCTTAGTAGCTCAATTCCATCACCATAGATATAGTTTGGTCTCATGGTTAAGGCACTAGGCTAGAAACCAGGAGATTGTGAATTCTAGTCCTGCCTTAGATATAAAAGATGGCTGCGTGACCTTGGTCTCTCTCTCTCTCTCAGCCCAACTCACCTCAGAGGGTTGTTATTATGGAGAAAATAGCAGGAGGAAGGAGTATTCTATCCAGGCCCATCTTCCAGTTTTGATACCACTCATGGAGGTGGTGAGCCAAGCTTGTTTGAAGTTCAGTATCAACATTCCATCTCATCTTCTCCCCGCTCAGAACAAGCAACCTTAATCACAGTGCACCTGAACGTAGGCAATTAGTACACTGCATTGATGTTAGAAAACAAATTTCATTTTATTGCAATTATCCATGTCATTAGATATGGGGATTATTCACTCAAAGGATATGGATAATCTAACATTCCATTTGATGCTTGCAGGTGCTTAGGTTCCTAATTTATTTATTTACAAAGATTTTTTAAAAGCCTGGTTCCAGATTACTCTGGATGCTGATTTATCATACCTGTCTTGCCATTTCTATTTTTAATCTGCAAAGGGCACACAGCATTGGTTAATTTCTGTTCCATAGATGTTGTACAGTATAGAGAACTGATGGAAGAAACTACACATTTTATTTAAGCATTCAACTATAAACCCATTTCAGTCCAAGTAAAGAAAAAAAAAACTTGTGGATCCTGAGGGAAAGAAATCCGATATAAAGAATCACACTACCTATTCCAGCAGTCTTTTTTTTTTAAAAAAAACAAGTTTTATTTTCAAGACAAACAATACATAAATACACATAAACACAAAACATAAAAGCATAAAAAATCTCTTTTCTGAAAGTTGCTTAGTCCCGGGTTAAAACTCTTGGTACAGACACAAGTTCAATTTCATATTCATTTTACATACCATTTCATATCTTATTAACATTTTCAATTTTCTATATAACTTCTCCTCTTCTTTAAATTTTCTCAATTTTTTTCCTCCTCTCAATTCATATATTATTCTTTATCTGTTCTATTCCAGCCAATCATTTATTTTTCTTCTTTAAAAAAAAGAAGAAATACTTCTCCTGTACACTATATGGAGATGATGCCTTTATCTTTTTCCCTTATATTTATAGTACCTAATATAAAATACATAACATACATTGGGATTCTGTCTGGTACATTCTAAAATTATACTATATTATCAAAAATAATACAAATCTATTCATTAATATTGATATTCATTCATATCTTAGACGTTTAACTCATTACTTTTCAATTAAATCACATACTTTTATGAGAGCCCTATTTTCCATAATTATCCCCCCCCCACATCACATATTATAGCTCAATATTTCATTGAAATGTTCCTCCTTCTTCTACTTCAAATCTCATTTCACAATTTTTTTTGCTAGTATACCATGTTCTAATCATTAATTTTAACAATCATTTATATCTTAAACATTTTATCCATTTCAATTGAATATTATGCCTTTGTGGGAACACTTATGCTTTCCACGATTATTACCCCCCACATCACAATCTTGAATCATATTTCATTACAGTACTCTCTTTTTCTTAACAAAAATTTCACTTATTTATGTTAGATATTTTATCACATTTTAAGCTACATATTATTTCTAATTTTCTATAATTACTTCTAAATACAGATATAAAAATGCAATCTTATGTACCTTTCTAGAATCCCATTAACAATAAGATCTATCCATTATCTCTGAAAAACTTTTGCTTCTTAATATCCTGCTCCCCACCATTAGAGCTTCTCATCCCTTCCTTTCTCCCTTGCTTCTTCTTCTCCTTGTCCTCTTTAACCCCTTGTCTCTCCACCTCCCTTTTATTCTGCTTTCCCCCTTTCTGTTGTTTCTTAACATAATGTCCCTTTTTCACCTTATTCTTCTCTTTTTGGGCTGTTTTTTCAGGTTTTAAAGACTTCTTTTCCTTTTTCTCTTGCTTTTTCCCGTCTCCAATCAAAGTCCTTTTTTCATCAAAGATGGCTTCTTCTTCTTTGTCCCCATCATCCTCATTCTGCTTCGCATAAATATAAACCGCCATTTCTAAGTATTGAAAAATAGTGCCAAGTCCATCTTCCCCTCCTTGTTTTTCTCTTTCATATTTTTGATATATAAGTTCCAATCCATCCACAGGTGATGCCATTGTGTAGAGAAAAAGTTTTTCCAAACAACCACCAAACAACCAATTTAATCAGAAATAATTTCCAAAGGTTCCAAAATCACTAAACAATCCAAACAGACTGTTTCTTTTAAATACCTTCTTCTTCTTCACTTTTTCTTTCTGAGTTTAAAGTAATCACAAATCCTTTTCAAATATATTTTTTGGAAGTTTTTAAACTCTTTGCAATTCTAGGCAATCTTCTCCTTATTTTCAAATTTTGCTCTGATTTTTTTTTCCACTCTCCCTTCCCACTCACAGCCAAAAAGATTTTTTTTCCCCGCTGTCACTTTAGGAAGGAGAGTAGAACAAAGAAAAAAAAAAACTTTCCCCTTTAGGGTATTCACAGCTTGTGGCTCTCACAAGGAACAATATATCCTTAACAGCTTTCAAGGTTCCAAATCACTTTCTCCTGTCTTGTCCCGGTAAAAAGCACCTTTCACTTTCTCCAGCTTTCTCCCTCCTGCACTTGCTTACCCGGCTGCAGCTTTCTTCGTGGCGGCCATTACTGACCGCCGTTCCTCCGCCTCGGGAAAAGGGAGTTTAGCCGGCTGGGGAGGGGGTTTGCGGCAACCCCAAACCCCTTGCCGGATCCCCCCTGTCTTCAGCTGCCTCTACGGGGAAGCTATATCCCCCAGATCCAAATGGATCGGGGGAACCTTGGCGGCGAATGCAGCAGGGATCGCGCGGTTGCAAATCCCTGCCGCCGCCGAAGGCTAGCAAACCGGAAGTTCCCAGCAGCCTTCTTTTTGGCACTACATCCTTTAGGCTTATCTAGCTAACATCATTGTCAATAACCTTTCTGTTCTGTCATTTCCCACAACTATTTTCTTCTGAAATTTATATTCTCTCCAAGAGGCAGGTCAATACTATGAAATACCAAGCCAACAGCAAGACAATTAATGGTTGTCTTTCTTGTACTTAGCTTGCTGAAGTCTGTTAGTCTTTCTCATGAAAAATTTCTCAGAACATTATGAATTGTATTGAAAACCCTCTCTTCGAAGGGTGGGCTTCATCAGTGGACAGATGGATAACAGCAGCAGCAAGATTAAAGTAATTTCAGTCTGTGCTCAAAAGGATCATCCTTAATCCAGGACTTGCTTCTCTCAAAGTCTTTCATATTATACACCTTATATAAGAGATAACTAGGCTGCACAGGTGATAACTGACCAAAATCTAATAAAAGGTGCCAAGATGATAATCAGACAATTTTTGAAAATATTGTTCTTTCTCCTAAGCTCATGATGTTTTATTTGTGATGTTTACTACTGTATACATTTGTCAGTTTAGGAAAACACAACAATCCTATGAATCTCTGTATATGATCATAGGGCATACTGTATATATTATACCACTGAGTTCAACACTCAGCTACAAGTGGGAATAATTCACTTATCCCTCATTTTCTCTGTGTGGTGCTTGGAATTTCAGGAATTCATACTCAAAGGAGCAATTATCGTGTTCCTGACACTACTTCCTTGAGAAGAAAGATAAAGCCTTGGATCTCTACAACCTAAAGTTTTTTATTAGGGCTAAGATGTTTTATAAAGTCACTTTGTGAAAGTTTTACCTCTACTTCTTTGAGGATTAAAATATATTATTTTACATCTCCATCAGATGAATTCTTATACTTTGCAATATTTGGAATTCTCCATTGAATACTATTTTTTGCATCATGAATCTATCCTAAGCGTATGGCAGTACTGGTAGTTATCTGCAAATATCCCACATCCTTGTGATTTAAACTCACTTCATCTTTCAGGGCCATGTATCCCAGACTTTTGTTTTATTTCAGAAGTTGGGCCTTTTGGTGATTTTTTGCAAGTTGTGAATGTAATTTATACATTCATGCAATTGTTTCGCCCTTAGGGATCTAATTAAGGTATTAAGTTTCCAATAATCTTAAATATCCAGCTATTGAAATTGAGGGAATAGATAGGAATACTGATGGCATGCTTTCTGCTCAAAGCAGTTGTCTGCACTTCTGGAGGATTCTGTTCTGAGTCTGTCCACAACAACATTTACTACAGTGTCTACTTTCTCTGACATCCAGCACAGAAGAATTTTTGGGAACCAAGAATTAGCTGGGAGCCAGAGGATTGCACATGGATCACCTGTTTTTTTATTTCATTCTGATACTGAAAGTGTCTACAGGAGGCTAAGAGACCCTATCAAAGCAGGAATCAATATAGTGTGAAGCAGAAGGAATATCATCAGTCACTTCATACAATTGTGGAACTACTTTATGTCCAGACATACAGCACAAAATTTAGTTGTAATATTTTAGATATGGTCCTTGCTAATTCAACCCATCTTACTCTAAAAATATAGATGGTATCCAAAATCAATCAATAAACAACTAAAGAACTGCAAGAGAGAAATCACTTAAGAGAGATAATTATTTTGAAGAAATTTCCATTGTACATATATGAATGTTTATTCTGATAAAGCAGTATTGTCTAAGGTTTTTAAATATTTTGTTTTTGTAACGATTGTCATTGTAACATATTTATTACATGTACTAGAAGGTAGACTTAAGATCATTACTATGGAAAAGAAGATCTAGTTCTGTCTTCTCCAGTGGTATCATGTAGATATGCAGACTGTATTCAGGAAGTTACAGTCCAATCCTAGAGGTCTACACTAGCTTTCCCTGAACTGGGCATTTCCAGATCTTTGAACTTAAAGCTCTCAAAATTGACACCATAACAGTTTTTAGACATATTGGAGTAAATCCCAACTGTGGCAAGTTTGGGGAAGATTGATCTTTATAAGATTTGTCTCAGCAGCAATTTATTTTTCCTCTTTTTCCTCTTTCCCCTCTTTCTCTTCTCTTTCTGCTATACTTAGACCTGAAATTGCTCTGGATTTAACTATTGTATATGGACACACCCAGGCAATTTAAAAGATCTGGCTTTGTTCTTGTACCTGTTAGTGATAACTAGATATTCAGGAATGAAGCCAGTGAAATGTTACATGACATTTCAGATAAATGTTATCATTAATAATTATTGCAACTCATATAGAAGCCAGTTATAAAATGTAATTGGTTGGTGACTAGTAGGCAAGTGTGACATACTGAATGTTTGGGAGTGGGATATATGGTATTTTATTTCAGGGGAAAGAAGATTAGCACAATGGAGATTAGCAATTTCTTATTTATTCTGTATAAACACAGGGCTTTCATTCATTACATCCTTTCTGGAAGCCAATGGTTGATAATGTGCCCACAGGTTAGTTCCTTCTGTAATCTTAGGTATGTAGAATTTTAGGCAAGTCATCACTGGTTATGCTAAATTTTATGAATGGAACAGTATGCCTGTATTACAGCTTTCTTTCTTGCTCTGATACATTACTTGAATTGGCACTGTAATCTTTCTGAATTACAGAACCTTTTTAGAAATATTTTGATCAAGAGATCCAAACCTGACTAACATTGAAGAATATTTGCCTTGTAGATGAAGAATATCAAACAGAAAAAGTGACTTTGGAAATTTCATCCATTAACATTACAAGCTTAACATCAGATTCTGGCTTGTTACACCAGGTAATTGAAATGTTATTAATGCTATATTTGTCAATATTATTTATTGTTATTTTTCAACATTAAGACTTTTTCAGTATTGTTCCCCAGTTTACTCTAAGTCAGTGCGGAAAGTTTTATTTCAGACTGAAGTACAATATAGAAAGAGGGCAGAAGACACAACGAAAAAAATCCTGAATTTTAGATACTCTTTGCCTTGAGTGAAGGAAAGGCATACTACAATTTGGCACTTTGTTATCTTCAAACCATCTATTTCATGTAGAATCTGCCTGATCTATACTATTAAATAAAGAAAGGATGCCCTGAGTATCCACCCTGAAAGAAAACAGGAGGAGGCTGGGATTCAAGATAGATTTTCTCATAATAAATCCTCCCTCTGAAATGGCTTGCCCCAAAGTTAGGTGTGCACCTATCAAATGATAGATGACAAGAAAACAGTCTTTAAGAGAGAGTTCAGACTTACATGATGGCAACTGCAGGGTTTTTAAAATAGTTTTTAATTGTTTTGTTTATTATTTCTTGATTTTATTGCTGGATTTTCTTATTGTATTGATGATTTGTTCCATATGTTGTAAACTGTCTAGAACAGGAAGAATAGATAAGAGTAGATGATATTTTAGTAAATAAATATCTAGAGAGGGCCCTAATTAAGAACTTAAGAGGTAGGAGATTCACATTACAATGTAGCAAAAAATCCTTGAGGAAATGCAAACCTAAGCATGAAAAGTTTGCACACAAGTTGTCCATGGAAAAAAATTACAGCCCACAAATTTCTTGCAGCATTGGCAACTTATTGACCACATTCATACAACTCCATATGCCACAGGATAATTGAAACAACAATCTGTTGTTAAAACCACAATTGTGTGGGTTCAACATTTTGCCCCAAGCCAAAGGCAATCAACATAGTACAGCTTAGCACTAGAAAGGAACCAAGCTGCTTTGATTCCTAGTTATTTTACTTAACACCTTTTTGGCTGTATTTTGAGCATTGCAAATTCTTATTCTAGCTGCAACCTCTTCTTTCTTTTCCCTTAAGTAGTGAAATAGATGTGCGGAATCCATATTCTGCCTTTAGGCAATACTGGATTTTCTTACTTTCCCTCACATGTGAGACAAATTTGTAGTTTTGTCTGGTCTTGCAATTTATTAAGAGGCATTTCTTTAACAAAATTGTTAAATGTAATTGCTTTATAGTTAATAATATTTCAATACAATTGTATCTTGGATGGTGTGTACTATCCAAAAACAGACGGTAATTTGATTTTGTTTGTCAAATGGTTTTTTTATCAAACTGAATAAAAATTAAGAAAAAATTGGATGCCTCTGATAAAAATTATAATTCTAAGACAAATAGAAACTTTATTTTTTACAAGTATTGCTTAGTTTAGTTACCTTTGCAATCTGTGCAGTGTAGGATTTCCCCCCCTGGAAACATCAGGATTATTGAAATCATCTAATAGTTTCTCTTGTGTGTGCATGAAGTAATACTGTTTAAGTCTTAACACTGAAAATAAAATGAATATATTGCAGTGTTACCTCTGTATTATATTCCTGCTTCTATAACTTGTGTTATTGCCTCTTCTCTATTTTCCTGATACACCCTCTTTAATTCTGCCCCTCTACTTCCATATTTCACACTATAATGTTGCCAGATGAATGATTATCAGATTGACAAATCCTAATTTCCCCAGGAGCCTTGCCAGGTGGGGGCTCACAATGCCCTTTTAACCTCCCTCTCATCAAATTATTCTCTCCTTTCCCCTTCCTGTGTTAACTTTCCCAACTGTATCATCACTACAGTTCTAATTCAATATTATGCTTAAATCTAGATAATCTATACTTTTTATCTATTGAAGTCTCAAGTAAATAAGCTCTTTACTTTGCTTTAATTGTATTTTTCACATATTTTAGATTTTGTCAATGGCCATGCTCATTTTGGGTTCTTGTCTCACTCTGTTTTGAGGTAAAGATCTAATCCAGGGCTGTCAAACTCGCTGCCTGTCGGCTGGATGCATCACACACTGGTCATGCCCACTCCCAGTTTAGTGAAGGGGAAAAAAGTCGCAATATATCACATGATGATGCTGTGACGATGTGAGTTTGACACCCCTGCTCTAATCAGTGGAATTACTTGCCTCCAGAAGTTATGGGTACTCCTACACTGGAGGTTTTAAAGAAGAGATGGGACAACCATTTAACTGTAATGGCATAAGGTTTCCTGCCTGAGCAGGGGTTGAATTAGAAGGTTCCTTCAAAATCAGTTATTCCGTTATTTTATATGCCATTTAAAGACTGGAGTGGATGGGGACATTTATAATTATTATAATTATTTGTAGACCCGATACGTATATATTATTTTTTGATGTATCTTTCAGCATTCAGCTGCAATGGATTTTTTTTTAATGTTTAATGTTAGAATCACAATTTTTTTTTTTCTACACGATATTTTTTCTCTGTTGTCAGTATTATATGTTTGTTAATCTGGTTTTTTTTTTCTGTTTTGTATTTTAACTTTGGTGATAAAAAAGAAAGAAAATTAAAAACACATGCCATTGAAAGACTGATGTGGCCCTCATTTTGACTAACTTGGCAACCTGCTTTGCTTGAACTAAAAGAAGTCACCTAAGGTTAAGCAGTACTGATGAAAATAAAAAGAAAAGATGTAACACAAAGAAAAAAGAAGGAAAAACCATGTATAATATTTCAGGTATAAAGTATGCACTATTTAGCCTAACTGGTACTGCAGAAACATTACGCCTGGTGCAGTTAAACATGGAGTGTAAACGGTTTTAAGTTGAAGGTGTTGGGTTTCTCCCTGCCTCATCTCCAAATTGTGATCAAGCTCAAAAGGCAGATTAGGCATTGTATACATGGTTGTCATGGCCTTGCCACATAAATTATCTATGTGGCTTCTTTGGAATGGATGTACTAATGCAGTTAAGTATAGGTAAGTAAAGGTGTCTGGTTACAGCATATTATATAACTGCATACTTTACCTGTATTTGCATGTACAGTTTATGATCTATTCCAGAGTGCTCTGTGATACTCTCAGGTGAATGACGCTATGCAAAAGCCAACTGTACTTTACTGAAAATATCTCAAGGGAAAAACCCCACCTGCTTTCATCTTTAAAGCTGCAATAAGAGCGGGAGGGAGGGAGGGCGGGTGGCGGGGAGGGAAATCTCTTCATCTAAGCTTGTTGGTTTTTTTGTAATAGCAAAAGCATCTGCTGCAGATTTTTCAAGGCTATCTTACCATGATAAAATCCTTCTGAACTCAGGAATTAAGTTGACTCTCTTTTATGATAATCTTCCTCTATAGAAATACAGTTTCTTCAAAGTATTTAGTTTTTTTTAATGGTTTGACCTTTCCAAAGCTTGAGAGATATTCATGACATGTTTTTCTAGATTCAAGGTGCATAATTTGTTGAATTCAATTCGTATCATGACATTAACGCAAGGCTGTATTTGTTTGTAGCCAGAAGAAGATGATGACACTCAAAGTTGTGCTGGTGATTCACCTACAGGTAACATCCTGCACATTTTCAAAATGTATTTACTGCCTGATTCCAGCTTTTTTTTTTTAATTCTAAGTAGGATGCTTGGAATTATTACTGTAGAAAGAAATAGTCTTTCATTACAATGGTTGACAAGATGGATCCTTTTATCACAACATCTCTGTGCTCTGATGATATAGGGAAATGATTTTAAGAGCAGGCTTGATGATTGCATGATAATGAGGAAATTATCTTGTAAAGTCCATATGCACAAAATTGAGATTGGATGACAATATGAGGAGGAACTCATTCCTTGGAAAATTGCAACCTTAAGAAAGTTTGGTATTATTGTACTTCGTTTCTAGGTGGGTACCCTAGCTTCTTAGAAGGATAGTTGATTAGACTTAGAAGGATAGTTCATGTGCATGAGGCCAAATAGGGCCCCCAAAAGCCATCTGGTCTCTGGAACAGTTCCTGAAGTTGTCATGAAACTGTTCAATATCTAAAATTGAACTGTATTTGCATGCACAGTTTATGGTATACTACTCCAGAGTGTGTTGTGAAACTCTCAGGTGAATTTAGCTATCTAAAAGCCAACTATAGTTTACTAAAAACATCTCAAGGGAAACTGATCTAAAATTTAATGAGACAGAAGATGACTTTAAAAAAAAAGATTAAGTAATCAGATTAAGTAGATGTAATTTATTTAATTTAGTTCTCATTAAATGAATTTACATATATACTCCACTATTCCCTTTTGGTTAAGCAACATTATGCAAAATACAGCAAAAGAATGCAAAGTAGCAACTAAAGGTAAGAATTGAAAGAGATAACAAAAACAAAAAACTCCTAACTATATGCATTTACATCACCACTATTTTACCTCACCATATTTTTGCATGCTACAATCTTTGCTTTAATGACAGTCTTCAATCACAATTATATATCATGTTGTATCACATCATACATAATTTTTCCTTCTTTAAACTTCTCATTTGTCTGCTTTTGAGGATGTTTTTTCAACTTAGCCCCTGTTTTTTGTCTCTATATAATCAAACCATCTCTGTAGTTTTTTTCATGCTGGTCAATCATTTTTATATACAGTATACATTCATTCAGTTTCCTTTTTTTGTGTGATTCTATTCTTGTTTAACCTATACACTTCTTAAATATCTCATTCCCATTGCATTCAATTTTTGTGTCTTTGCCTTGTTCTCAATTCCATATACAGTCACATATCCTGCTGTGTGAGGAAATTATAGTAGCATCTAGCCAAGTTGGCCCGGATGCAGTTTTCACACATACATGTATCAATTTGCACACTGCTCCATAATCTAATTACAGTATTTTAACATATCTCCAGTTATACCATCTATACCTACAGTCTTACAGTTTTTCAACATTTTCATTGCATTGATGGCTCCTCATTATTTTTCAATTTATATTCAATTTAAATGTATAGCATTCATTTTAACCTACAATATATCAATACAAATCTCTAAAGAAATCATTCCAGCATTCCCTTGCTTCACTTTCATTCCAAGTCATTTCATCATTTTTATTCTTAGTTCCATTCACTCTGCTGCTTATTATCAAAATCCCCTTGCATTTTCTTTGACATCATAACTGTTTCTTGCATTCTTTAACTACATTCTTTGTAATTTCCTTTTTCTTTATGTAATACCTTTCATACTCATTTTTGCATGTCATTTTGTTACATGATTCTTTTTCTTCACAGCTTTTTTACATATTTGATCCAACAAACCTCCTTGTTCATACTTCTATTATAATTCATCTCATAATTTGTCCTGTACAGTATTCTCTAAATTCCTCCATTCATTCATATCAACTTATGGAATGCAGTAATAATTTCTTCTGGATACCTTTTCTCCTACTTTCAGACAGACATACCAGTCTATGTACTGCATGTAGTACATGTAGTTTGCAGTAGTAAAATAAAAATATTTTTATATATAGTTTTCTACCTCCTTGCAAACCTCCATATTCCACTCTCCGAGATCATCTTCATTGAAATCAGTCATATTTTCTCCTTTCCTTAGTTTCACTGGCATACCATATATTTTTTCTTTCTTTCATTGTATCTGTTAAGTCATATTTATGACTGTTTACTTCTCTTATACCGGTATTTCAAATTACAATACAGATAGTCCTTGACTTACAACCGCAAGATTTCTGTTGCTAAAAGAGACATTTGTTAAGTGGGTTTTGCCCCATTTTACAATCTTTCTTGCCACAGTTGTTAAGAGAATCACTGCAGTTGTTAAGTTAGTAACACATTTGTTAAATGAATCCAGTTTCCTCATTGACTTTGCTTGTCAGAAGGTCTCAAAAGGTGATTGCATGACCCCGGGTCCTTCAACCATCATAAATATGAACCAGTTATCAAGCATCTGAATTTTGATCACATGTCCATGGGGTGCTGCAACAGTCGTAAGTGTGAAAAACAGTCATAAGTAACCATTTTTAGTGCTGTTGTAACTTTTAATGGTCATTAAACAAATTGTTGTAAGTCGAGGACTACCTGTACCATGGTCATTGACAGATGAGCTCATGAAAATTGATCTCTACTGCTCATCACTGCTTTGGTTGACTGAAGCTTTAATGTAACGCTTAGTAAAATAGACTACCAGCCTTACCTTTACCCATTGCTCTCAGTGGCACAACTTTCCAAAAGCCAAATATAAAGGACAGCGTGGGCCTACCCTAAGTTGCACAGCTTTGCATTATAAAATAATCTTTGTGCTTTTTCATTTAGGTAGCTTCAGCAAAATAGTTAAAGCACATGTTTTACAGGTACATCATCCAGGGCCCAGCCTCTTAACAGTTTCAGTTTTCAAAACATCTTGTCCAAGAAACATTTCTCTTTGTAATCTTAGAAAGCCAGTCTTATGAGTACTGACAATATTGGTCTCAATATCTTACCCCGGGGGACAGTATTAAAGATATAAAATAAATCATCATGATGTTTCTATGCAGGTGTTTCACATGTCTATCTGCTCTTTGTGTAGTAAAGATCAGTGCCCTCTTTAGTTGGGGAGCACATAGTAACCAATGGTTCAATGCAGATATAATGAGCCAATTTTATAATCAGAATATCATTTCAAATGGGAAACTGTAACTTAAGAAACAAGAAAGATTTGCTTCAAATGGATATGCAACAAGAGGAAGGTAGAGAGAGGAAATGGGGAAATGAATTAGTCTAGCTCATCATGAACAAGGCTTATTACATATGAAGCATGTAAAACAGTGGAATAACTCCCTAATATAATTGTAATTCTAGCTTTGAAGAAGTCATGTACAGAAAATGGCTCTTGCTCTCTGTGTACATCTCACCAGCCAACCATCGGTGATCTACTAAATGATGAGGACTTGCTGTATATGATGAGAATCAAATTGGATCCATCGCACCCGACAGTGAAAAACTGGAGAAACTTTGCAAGCAAATGGGGAATGACTTATGATGAGTTGTGTTTTCTGGAACAGAAACAACAGAGTCCCACCTTGGAATTTTTGTTACGGAACAGTGACAGAACTGTGGAGCAGCTGATTGAGCTTTGTAAATTATATCAAAGAGTTGATATTGAAAAAATACTGCAGAAATGGGTGGAGAAGGAATGGCCAAAAAGAGGCCATGGGGCCTATCAGAAAAACATTTAAAGGAGAAAAAAATGACAATGTGGAAAACCAAGAATGGGGCTTGGTTGACTTTACTTCTGGTGTGCATAGGTCTTTTCTTTTCCTAGGGAGAGGACAGCATACTTATTTTTACAGCATAAATTGTACTTACCATTTGTAGTGATAGGGATGACCTTTAATTATGAATCAAGTCAATGTCTTTTACAGATGTCAAAGTCTACAGTACTCAGATTTTTGAAGCAATAAGAGAACAATGAAAATTATCAGCATGCTATATAGGATAGCTGCATAATAATTTACTTCTGTTTAGCAGTCTTTGTCCTGTATTTCTCTCTGACTGGAAATTGTATAGAAATTAAACATAGGAAGGAAAATGGAGGTCCTCTTCAAGGAATAATCCATGCCTGTACCTGTCCATTTGGTCTTGTTCTACCCTTTTCCAGGTTGCCTTTGTTAATGAACAAACCAGTAGAAGATACTGCAAATCAGAACTAGGATAGTCTCATATGACATCATCTGAAAGGGAGAACTTTATACCCAAAGATATATATGAACAGTACAGAAATAAGCCATGTTTTTAATCATACACTGTAAAAATATAGCATCAGATGTTGGCATTGTTGGGCATCTTTCAGGAAGGCTAATTCTAGATATTTTGGCACCCTAACCAAAGTCATATTGTGGCATCACCTATGATTATATTTCTCTCTTGAATAGCCATGCTGATGCACAGAATGCGCTTTTCTGGATATAACTTTGATAAGTTGATAGTCATTGTTCAGTACCTTCCTATCAGACTTTTCCCTTGCTTTGGTAATATTATTAGTTTCCTGAGGTCTGTAGCTGTAATAATTATTTCTTTTTTGAAACTTGCAATGCCTGATTGGTGTGATGTTCACTACCACTCAACCGACTTTGTGCATAAGTATTGTTGAAATGTATAGAAAGAAATGGTTGTAATACAATGAGGAAAGATGCATTTTATACTCTATTGTGCATATAAATCTTTTCAATTCTGGTATGCCCTAAAATTTGGCACCCTAGGCAACAGCCAAACCAGGCAATTGCCAAACTTCTCTGGCTTGTTGCCACTTTCCTGCCATCTCTGAGTGATAAAGTGAAGAATATACACAAACACACCCTTCCCAATGCAGACCGAAACCAAAGGGACAAGTATATAGATGGGAGCAACAGTAATTTTTAAAAATGGCGAAGCTAGATGGGGAGGAAAAACTTCTTGAAGGCATCTTTTCAAAGTTGACAAAATCTGGAGCTGACAAGGAATACCTAATCCATTTGTATATATGAATGCAGCTTCAGTGCCCCTATCATAATTTTAAAGCCGGAATAAAAATAGAACATAGATCAGATAAGTGGCAGATCAGCAAGTGTTTTTGGCTCCCAGTTTCATTCTTCCTCAGTCCATTGTGTTCCAGATGTGTTGGACTGTAGTGCTCATCTGCAAAGATGTTGGTCATTATAGCCCGACTTACCTGGAGGATGGCAGGTCAGGGAAGTTTATCATAGCAGTAACAAGGTTTCCCTTTTTCTAAACTAGGCTAAATGGTAACTAAAATGTAAACTTGTATTTGTGGATCCTTGCAGGAGATGGTGCTTCAGTCAAAGAACATGTATTTGGCAACAATTCCTTTGTACCAAATTGATCTTAAAGCTCAAATTTAAGAAAATATAAAATAAAACCTCACAACTCTGAAACATATCTGTAACTTCATTTCAAATCCTTATTTAATCTGTTACACAATTAATTGTCAGCTTAATTTCAGTATCAAGATCTCTGACCAAGAAGTATATTCCCTTGATTTAAGACTGCATTTTAAAATTATCTATCATGTTAGGGATTATTCAAATCTTTTTTCTTCTGATGTTTGCAACAATCTGTGTTTCAAGTCATTTAACAATAATAATAATCATACTAATTAAGTGTATTTGTGCCGTATTAAGCATCACATTTTAAGATAAATAGTATTCTGACCAGTGTGTACTTAAATCATAGAATTATCAAGATTCAATCCTTGATGGGTGCTTTTTTTCAGAGTATGCAGAATCTCTATCTGCCTTTGAATTGAAGTGGTTAGATCTCAAATGTGGATAATATATTAAAATATTTTAAGAGTGATTACGTTAATTGGAATTGCTCATTCCCTCTAGCAATTAGAAAATATGTTCAAACATGTTTTCAGAGACAGTTTGAGAACTAGTGCTACTCCAAGGTATCACAAAGCACTTATCTTCTCTACAATATTATAATGAAATATTATGAATCATCTATTAATAATTTTAGGGATACTTTTGAAATATTATCAGAAATTAATCTTTAAATGAATTGGAGTCACTTAGCATAGTGAACACATTAGTTTCTATAGCACACAACAATGCATGCAGAAAGCCAGCTCAGTGTTAAACTCAGACATTGTTTGATCTCATTACAAATAACCATAAAATGCAAATAAAACACTGTATGCTGGAATGTAGAAGAGTTGCTCACATGCTTTAGAATATAACTTATAAGAAAATGTGAGTTCAAGACCTTCATTGTAAGGAATTCAGTCCTAAAACCTAAATTCTTAAATGTACTTTCCAACAAGCTTCTATCTCAAGTGTGAAAAGACCTGAGTTTTCAGTTGAAATATTTTCAGATATGATACACTCTGGAAAATGTCACTGAAAATTGGAGTAAAAATGCTCCTATCAGGAAGAATATTTATGGGGAATTGAGCTTTTAGGCTATTCTACTAAATCCAAGCATACTTAATTGCAACACATGTTTTTATAGTTGTAGCTCTTTAAAGTTATGCTTGAAAATTAAGCCATTTCTATTATTGCATTACTTTCTATTACTACTATAGTAGTACGCTGAATTTTAAAACTTCTAATTTTGTTAATATATTCCTTTTTTGTAATGGATCTGAGTTCAAAGCATTTTTGTGTATGTATTGGTATCATCAATCTGTTATGTTTGTTAAATGTTTTTGATATACAGTTTTAGAAGAAAATTGTTTTTTCACCCTGTTTTTGTTTTTATTAAGAGAGTTACTGTTACTTTTCTAAACTACTTTGTTGTAACTATTTAAGATATGCATTTCAGTCATTAAAAGACTATCGTCAGAAGATGCTCAACCGTAGAATTTGGACTCTGTTTAGGCTATAGTGAGGCTTATTAAAATGAAGATCTGAATGCAGAGTTTTACCCTCTCACTGAGAATCAAAGTCTTTTGCTCCTTGTATAGTAATTATAAACAAAAGAACTCTTTGGTTTGGAATAGCTATCTATAGACTTTGGTCTCTTCTTAGCATAATGTATATGTTGCCATACCTTATAAACAATCACTTCCAGTTGTCTTACTTCATCTCAGAGAAGACAGTCGTATAAACAGATATTGTTTTAAAATGCTTAATTCATTCCATTACAAGCTCTTTCAGTGAACAGTCTATTTGTTTACTTTCACAAGGAATGATTTTTTTGTGTGTGATATGCCAGGTATTTTAAAACCAAGCAGATCCTATACAACAGGGGTGTCAAACTTGCAACGACATGTCGTCACATGGCATATTGCAACTCCCCCCCCCTTCACTAAAACTGGGGTGGGCATGACCAGCGTGTGACACATCCGGCCCACGGCCCGCAAGTTTGACACCCTTGCTATACAGAGAGATATTCTCTTCCCTTTCCCCTTCCCTTCCTTTGTCCTCCTCTTGCAATGCTTTTTTAAAATTCTTTTCCATTTAATCCACAATATTATGCAAACATCAAAGCAACACACATTTCAAATCATCCTGTGAAATAATATATCCTTTAATATAATCTTAATTTATCCAATAAGACACATTGTCTTTACCTTAGTTCCAAAAGTTATGCAAGAAATCTGTGTGCAATTACATCTCCAAGATCTATTCCTGATTATATGAGATGTTAAATCTGCATCTAAATTACAAGAATACATCTGCGCTGTATATTCTAGATGAATTCTAGAATATTCTAGATTTACATTAAAAACTAAATCTTTTAAAATTGGAATTGACATTGTTCCTAGCAGGAATGTCTTGCTCGGATTCCTGGCCTATCTGCATGTATTTTCAAACACCTGCCCATTCCAGCTGAAGGACATTACAATCATCAAATGTTAACTTCCTAATTATCTGTTTTATCCAATTTCCTAATCGGAGTTTGTTTGGGTTATAGTTACTCATAAAATTTCTGCTGGTGACCTTGCTCTGACTCCAACAAGAAGTTTTAACTTCAATGTTTGCTGTCACTGACCTTCAAAGGTCAGACAAGAGCAGACAAGGAAGGTACTGTGTAATATGAAGAGCTCTTCAAGTTTTTATGCATTTATGAGCCATAAAACAAAATCAGGATTGATGGTCCAATCTGCAGTTACATAGATTACTGCCATAAACATTTGACATAGACCAGAGGTGGTATTCAGCAGGTTCTGACCAGTTCTGGAGAACCAGTAGTGGAAATTTTGAGTAGTTTGGAGAACCAGCAAACATCACTTCTGACTGGAGATTTTACAGTATCCTTCCCCTGCCACACCCACCAAGCCACGCCCACAGAACCGGTAGTAAAAAAAAATTTGAATCCCACCACTGACAGAGACCGTAAAAGTGTTATTTATTTATTTCTCCTTGAACATACTGTAGTGAGTATGAATAATATTTTTGAGTTTGCTTGTGTTCTCACCACAATCTTTGTTTCTGAAATGCATTTCTGAAATTGAAATGACTTACAAAATAAATAGTATGTAAAGATTTATGAACAGCTGTGCCACTATAGCATGGTGACCAGGTAGGAAAACTTGTGAAACTTATTTGCTTCATAATTCATAAAAGAAGACTCACCCCACCTATTGATGAATTGTAGTACTGTAGAAAGTCTTTAGACATGTTAAGTAAGCATTATTTCATAGGTTCCAATGGATGGGGAATCCAATATATTTTTGCTGCTGAGATGAAGGGCAAGTTGATGCCTCTCCTTCAATAGAAAGTTCCTTGGACTATAACAGTGGCAGTAGATGGTGCCTCCAACATGAGGGTGACACCTGGTGACAGCCACCCTGAGTATCCCTGCAAGAATGCATTCATCTTATTCTAATAAAGTTCACTATTTTTCACTATTTTTCTACAATCCTTTTCTATCCTAGAAACCTTTCTGTATTTAAAAAAAAAAAAGATTTAGATATCTTCCCTGGTTTATTTTGTGAACAAAATGATTGGGAGATTGTTTCAAGGTCCTTGGGAAAAATTCAAAGAATACAAATAAAAATCAAGTGAATACAAATAATAAAATAAACAAGAACATTTGAAAATAAGGAAAAAAAAATGGCCCCAGTGAGAATTCTGGGTTGATTTGATCAATGTTTCATCAGATTGTTTTATTGACTCTCCACGGTATTCTCAGCAGTCTTCTCCAGCACCAAAGTTCAAAGGAACCAATATTCTTGCTTTCTTCAGACACCTAAAGCCATTGAGGATTTTGTTCAGAGGTCTCCAAACCTGGCAACTTCAACTCCCTGAATTCTCCAGCCAGCATAGCTTGAAGTCCACAAGTCTTAAAGTTGCCAAGTTTGGGGGCCCCTGATTTGGTTAAATCTTCTTCCAGAGCCGATCAAATCATAGGCAAAAAGCTTTCCGAAATTTCATCCACTTCTTGTTCCTTTAAGGGTGGGAGGGGCGTCTCTTGGTGGGATGATGTCATTGTTCGGGATCTTGTGAACCAGGAAAAGGAAGAATGCCGAGGCACCATTTTAAACCGTGATAAATAAACCATGATAATGCGAAGTGAAAGCAACCGCTGCGGTTTTGGCCGGAAGGCGAAGTGTGCGCGCCCCAGATGCGAAGGTGAGTTAAAGTTGTCAAACATCCGGCAGCTGAGCAGAGGCAGAGGGTTAAAAGCAAAAAGATGCAGCTGAAAACGGTAGCGACTGGCTTGGAGTAAATGATCTAGTTTGGATGAGCGGATGGGAAGGCGAATCAAGTCAAGGGAAACTTTAGAAAAGAGCGTGGACCGTGCGCCATCCAGTGGAAATTAAATTCGGTTGGTCTCAGTGAATTGGAGCCCGGGATCTGCGTGAAATTAGCTGGAACTTAAAACTGACTTAAAGTAAGGCCAGCGGGGTCAGAGAAAGCAAAATTTCTAATAATTAGTTTGTTCGTTTAATAATTTATAAGAAACTAACCTGGTTTGCGTGGCTGTCATTTAGATATCGGGGCACCCATTTCTTCAAAAAAAGTATTGGTAGCAAAGGGTGAAGGTTGTGTTTCCCCCCGTTATTTGCTAATGAAGATAAAGAACGTCGATATTATTATAATAACAGAACTTCAGTGGCTGCAAGAGTGTGAAATTGCCTAGAATTGTTTTATCCATTTGCCATGGAGGCAGCTAGTGCACAACAATCCTATAGTGTAATCTGATATTATCCAGTCTCTTGAAGTTGTGTGGTTATTTTTTAAGAATGAAAATGAAAGCAGCTTGGCTGGGAAATTCACCAAAGTAGCTATTTTGTTTATTAAATATCAGAGGGGATTGTAATGTAATATTGTCATAATCCTTTAAGAGAGCCAGAAGATTTCACTGGGTTGCCTCCCTTGGCCTTGAGGCTAAAATACAGCATCACATGAGTTCCTCATGAGTTATTTTTGATAAAATCTTGTGGTAAAGAAAAAGTCTTGTGATGGTGTTTGAGTTTAGGGCAAAATGGCCTGGAGAGCTGAGTATGGGGAAGTCAATTAGCAGATATTAACCATGCCTAAAATCAAGTATTTCTAAATTATTATTTTTTATTATAATGATGAAATAGAGTAAAACCGAAACTTAAAGAAAATAGAAAGGAGTAAAAAGTGCAAGGAAAAAAGAAAGGGAAAAAATTAGGAAGTTCCTGAAAATCAACAGGGATGGAGCCAGCCTCATGTGGGAGGAGTGGTGGGAGGAGAATAAGATGGGTGCCATGCCAGAAAGGGGGCTCCTCCTGTGGAGCTGATAAGCTGATAAGAACTTGACCCCTGAATTTGAGAGTGACATTTATCTTTGTAAAGGGACTTCCAAAAATATGAATCACCAAGTGTAACTAAGAAAAGCAAAAAGCATTTGTTAATGGGGAGGGTTTTTTTCAAGTCTTCTACAAAAACAAATGATACATTCATTTGCTATATGTTACAGTCAGAAAGCAAGTGATCAAACAGTAAGACATTGATTACATGTGAGACTTGAATAATATAAACACTGATTCTAGATAATATTCCACATTTATGGGAATTTGTGGGTTACTTTACTCTTTCCAGCTGGTTCCTATCTTTCTTAAGACTTGCAAGTATATTCAAGGGATTTCAGTATATACTTTCTGTTGTGAAGTTGCTGAAAAAGGAAGTTCTTGCCTGCCAAAAGAAATGACCTAGAGAAAAGCGTGCTTTTTAAAAGTTAAAAAAGAGCCCTTGTTAAAAGAGCTAATGTCAACCTTTTAAAATGCTAGTCGAAGCCTAAAGTTTGAGGCAGCACTGTGTCTTGCCAAGTGCAGTTCCCTAGCAGACAGGATCCTGTATCATATATTTTCTGATGGGGATGGGCGGAGGTGGGAAAGATGGTCCCTCAAATAACCTAATCCTATGCCACAGAAAACAACACCTTGAATTGGACTCAGAAGCGAAGTGTGACATGCAAAGAGTAAAGTGCAAAGAGCAGAGGTGTAATATTTGCTATTCTAGGAACACACATAAGTGTCCCCATTTCATGTATGAAATGGCAATTAGAGAAGATATTGGGTGTGTGGAGGAAAACCATAGTGATTCTTTATAAACAAACCTGTGATCATAGTTGTAGCAGTGGTGACTTTTTCTTTGAGTTCTTTGCTGAGCTTTCGCTCGACATGCTTAAGCATGAGACAATTTAAGTTCTGGGCATTTTAAAAACATCTATTTCTGATGTTGCTTTCGAATTCTGTTTGTCAAGAGATAGCAGCCCACTGATCAAAAGGCGTAGAGTTTTAGAGGACCTATCAACTCCGTAGCTGAATATTGGAACGTTAAGTCCTGGAGTAGTTTACATCTGTTCTCCTCCAGATAACTTCATACTCAAAGGTAACAGAGGTTTTTCTATCATATTCTCTTTCCAAACATTTCCTTTGTGTTTCCTTTAATGGTTCTCTCAAGGTATTTACGTATTCAGTTATGTTCAATTAAAACGTAGCTCTACAACTTTACTTTTCAGATATTGCTTGCATAGAGACCCTACAAACTTCTAAAGCTGAGAAGACAGAAAATGATGTCTTTGGACAATTTTCACAGGACAGTCCGGAGCCCAGTGATTATCTCTTCTTCCTTGTTGACCTATTCAGTCTTTTAAAAAAGGGGGGATTTCTGAAGTGAGAGGTTGGGGAAAGAATATGAGAAGAATAAGGGCAGCAAAGCTGCAATAGAGTTTCCATGCAGAGCAGAAAAATAGACTTTGAATCCTGCCTGCTCAAATATGTTTCCCAACTGTTTGGTTTAGAATAATTTTAGGTTTCAAACCTTAATTTAGCTTTTACACTGATGACTTGTTCTACGTGGCTTATTGTAAAACTGATTTGATTATATTGATTGACTTGAAATCACATAGTTATAGTGAAGGTCCATGGCAATCCTTTCTTGCATAAAGGTTGCTGCACACAGCTACCTAACTATGCTTGCATGTCTAACTCCTTATTCTCAGCAGTTGAGTGAAAATGCATGGCTCAAGTAAGAGAAATGTTGATCTTGCATATTCATATCTCAATTTAGAGATTCTGAATCTTAGAAATTATCCTTAGAAAGAGATTGTCTGAACTAACTAAACTGGAAGAGCAAGCTAATTATTTTACTATATCTAGATTTTTAAAAAATCAAACATTGTGAAAAAATGATTTTTCCCTTTAAGTTGCAAGACTAGAAATTACATACCTCTTTTTAAAATAGGTTGTTCCATATGCTGGGACCTTAATTGATGGTCTTTCGCCTGGAGATCTTGTAATAATACATGGATTTGTTCCTGAAGATTCAGAGAGGTAAAATTAAAAATATATGTTTTATTAAAAGCTATTGTATAAGGTTATTGAGGGCAAGCACCGTATCTATTCATTTATTGAAATGGTTCGGTCTTTCTTTTGAGAAATTAAAGCTTTTGAGGAATGTTAAACTTTCCCTACAATAATGATTGTTAGTTGATATTAGATCACAAATTTGCTGGTGAAAGTGTTTACATTATTTTGTTAAACCTGTCCACAAACTTATACTTGCGTGGATAAAGTAATTGATTTTAGTACTGCATGCAAGAGACCATCTTATACCGTTTAATAAGAAATACAAATATGAAATGAGAAAATGTTTCTAAGTTATGCCTACATATGTAATATTAGCTAGAGTTATGACACTGTCCTATAGAATGGCCATAGCCATGAGTGTGTTATTTTAGGGATATCCGTGGTCCTATAAGAAAACTGTCCACATGTTGGAAATCATATCAGAAGTTAGAAACAATGCTTCTAAATCCTATATATTGTTCTTTGAAGATGTCATCATGAGTCTGGGCAGGCTACAGAATGAATCTTCCTATTGATCCTGCTCAAAATTCTAAGTTCATATAACAGATGGAATATGGAGACAACAGCTTGAATGTTCCCCATTTCTAGAGATTGTTTGCTGCTTCAGCAAGGACTGCATTGACTCCAGTGTGTTTGACTTTACTAGGTTCCAGGTAGACTTTCAGTGTGGCAACAGTACAAAACCTCGTGCGGATGTAGCCTTTCATTTCAACCCTCGTTTCAAAAGATCCGGTTGCCTAGTTTGCAATACTTTGCAGAATGAAAGATGGGGTACAGAAGAGATCACGTATGAGATGCCTTTCGAAAAAACAAAACCTTTTGAGATAGTTTTTATGGTTCGCCATGATAAGTTCCAGGTAAACTGCTAGGATTTAATTATTTAATCAGCCAGTTAGCAATACTAGTTCAATAAGTCCTGTACAACCACATACTGTGCTCCCATTAGTTTCAACAGGTTAAATTTAAGTTTAGGCTTAAGTTACTTTGATTTCACTGGGAGTACTAACTACTTAATTATTTCTAAATTTTATTTTTTGGTTAGATACTTTCTGGGTCAGTGCTATTAATATTGTATTTATTTAGCTTATATATCCCACATGTTGGCTTTTTAATAACTTGCAAGATACTTAATCAAAACATTCAAGTAAATTTAACCCAATGTAATTGAAACCTAATTAGATAGCTGCTATCAACAAAACAGCAAAAACAAAACTATGCATCCAACCCCACAACTCTGCAATCAAATCCCAACATGAAAGACATTTTTGCCTGTTGGTGGAAGGAGAAAATGTCTCTTATACTGTTCTTTAAAGTTTGAACGGATGTGGTGGTAGTTATAAGTAAAATAGGTAGAGATCGTGGTGTAAACTTCAGAAAGCGTTTTTCAGGAGAACAGCATATAGCACTTAGCACTTATATACTGCTTTACAGCCCTCTCTAACTGGCTTACAGAATCAGCATATTGCCCCCAACAATTTGGGCCCTCATTTTACCCAGGATGGAAGGCTAAGTCAACCTTGAGCCTGGTGAGATTTGAACTGCCAAATTGCACCCATGTTGTAAGAACAATGTATTCAGAATGAATGGGATTCTTGAGTATGACTTCTAGATGCAGGTGGATAGGAACAAAGGGCTTTTTCTTCCCTGTACGTACCTACTCCTCCTATCTTGCCCTACTGATTGATGTGTTAAATAATGCTGTTCCTAATACGCCAGAGGTGGTCTTAATGCAAGACTGGGCAAGATTCAACCCAGTGGATAGTTGGCATTTTATTAGCACCTTGAAATCTAATCATTGGAGAAACTAGGGACTGGCAGGCTGCATGTGGCTCCAGCCTTCCAGCTGTGATCTCAAGAGCCTCTCAGAGATAACAAACATTTCAGAAAATGGGTGCTTCAAGTCTTGCAAAGGCAAGTGAGTATTTCAATATTTGCAGAGATATAAAGGGACCCCACCCAAAAAGTTGGAATCCCCTCAAGAGTTGGATTGACCTTTCCCCCCCCACATTGTCAGAGGTTTTGCTGTATTGGCCTTACAGTCATCAATTATTTCTATTATCCTGTCATGCTAAAAATAGATTTGAAAAGTTTGGCCAAACTACTGCATTGTTATTGTAGAATCACAAGCCACACCCATTGTGGCCTTCGTGTTGATCAGAAGAAATGAATTGTAACCTTCAGACAAAAGGTTTGCTTATCTTGGCTTTAAATCATAGTTTGCTAATTATGGTTTAGCTATAGCTAAATTACCATCAAAAATAAAAGGCTACTTTTTATAAAATGCCTTAAGACATGTTTGATTAATTTAAAAAGAATTTGTTATCTAAACAAATGTTTCTTACACAGAATCAGTGCTTTTGTATAAAATACTCAAATTTTAGTTTGGCTGTTTTTTACAGGTGTCAGTTAACAAAAAGCATGTGTTGCTGTATAAACATAGGATTAATCTGGAAAAAATTGACACTCTTGCAGTATCTGGAAAAGTGAAAGTTACATTGGTTGGATTTGTTTCCAACAAGGTGAGCTATTACAAGATACTGTCTTTTACTTTGGCATTGCTCTAAGTATAAAATATTTATTCTACTTCTTAAACATTCTGTTGGTATGCAAGGTATTAATTCATGATGTGAATAGAATGGATTGAACCATTTGCTTCATAAACAGAATTATGAATTGGAACATGCAATTTGCCCACACATTCAGTATAAGGAGCCGTCTTGATCTAAAAGATCAAATTGCAGCAATAGCATATAAAAGCATTTATGAAGAAATTAACAACACTTTGTCAACTTGTAAAACATTTTGTATACACGTTTTATAGTTGACAACAGAAAGAAGGGGGGGGAGTTTCAAAGAGCAGGCAACAGTGTGGAATCAAACGTATATTCCATTCATATTTTCTTCAAAGACTGATTAGATGACCGAAGCTTCTGCCGTTGAAAAAATCTAATTGGAGAGCATGATTGATGACTCTTGGCTATGGACATTTTTCGTTGGATGACATATTTTATTTTATATTTTTATATACAATTGGGCAAAGTACAGGTAGTCCTCGACTTTTGACCATAATTTAGCCCAAAGTTTCTGTTGCCACGCAAGATATTTGTTAAGTGAGTTTTGCCCCATCTTTCTTGCTATAGCTGTTAAGTGAATCACTGCAGTTGGTAAGTTAGTAACCAGTTTTTAAATGAATCCGTCTGTCCCCTTGACTTTGGTTGTCAGAAGGTTGCAACATGGGATCACATGACTCTGGGACACTGCAACTGTCATAAATATGAATCAGTTGCCAAGTGTCTGAATTTTAATCACATGAACATTTAGATGTTGCATTGGTTGTAAGTGGCAAAAATGGTCATAAGTCACTTTTTTTCAGTGCCATTGTAACTTTGAACAGTCACTAAACTCATGTTGCAAGTCGAGGACTACCGGTACCTGTAATAAGTTTCACACTGAAGGCTTTTGTTTGCCTCTTAAGCAGCTCAGAATCGCAAGCGGGCTAGGCAAACAACCAGTACTAGCACATTCCTTTCAATGAATTCCTCATTGGATACCTGTTTATTCTTCTTGCAATTTGTTCTTCTCCAGTGAATGTAAACAAACATTTATTTCCTCCTTGCTAATTATTCTAGCAACAGGGTGAGAATTCCAAAGAGCAGAGGAGAGGGGGGGAAAAAGAGCTATAAGATTTGGTCTTTTATCCAGCTTCCTCATGAATTGAGTTCTGGAAACCTTCCCTGTTGCTTGGGCTCACCAGGCTATTAAGAGTTGTATCCTTCTGACTCTTTGAAGCAAAAGAAAGCTGAAGTAAAATCACAAGCACAGTTGTGGTCTTGTGATTTTCACTTAGCAACCACTTTGTTTAATAACCGAGTCTCTGGAACAAGTTGTGATTGCTGAACAAGGACTACTCAGATATCATAATTCAAATAATATTACTATTAATATTATTGTTAGTATATTATATTATATTAATATTCAGACATCACAATTCATGTCAGTATTTTTTATTTAATTATATATCTTATGTTGATCAAGATTCTCAAGCATCCATAAACAGGGGAAATGTATTCCTTAAGTTTACAATCCTGTTCTCTTATTTTATATTTAAGATTGTCTCTTTTTCTATACAGGAAGATGTACCTGATACCTCACAGTTTGTAAGTATCTTTCTAAATACAAACTGCTAGAATGTGTTACCACAGTGGCTCCCAACCTTTTGGGCACCAGGGACTAGTTCTGTGGAGAAAGGTTTTTCCTGCAGACTGAAGGGAGCGTGGTTTTTTGTGCTGCCTACATCCCGCAGTTGAGGCTTCACTTGTTTGCACAGCTTGATTTCTGGCATGCTGTGGCCCAGTGCCAGTCCATGGACTGAGGGCTGGGGGCCCCTGTGTTACAGAATGAAAATGAACATAAGAGGACATGAACTTTTCTTTATCTCAATGTAAACTTTTTCCTTACAAATATATTTGCACACGGGAGTGACCAGGGCATAGCTGATTTATGATTTGTCATCCCTCTGACATGACTCAGTGACTGGATTCAAAATTCTGCTAAGCCATGGTTTATTGAATAACTCCTACTACATGCTGTATAAACCAAACAAGTGCTGGTTTAGCAAACAGCAATGGCAGCATTCCAATTGTCCTTCAGGGCAATTTCTTTTGATAATTTTCTGCAGTTGCCATTTGCAATGGCCACATCGGAGTTTCTTGAAATAAATACTGTACATAGAATTGTGACCTCAAAGATTATCAAGTTATCTGCTTGATGAAGAGTCTGTTAAAGCAGTTCAGACAGATAGCTCTCTCTCTGTTTGAAGTGCTCCAAGGGGCTTCTATTTCCTGAGTAACAGTTCTTCCCATTGGTTTATTCGCCCTAACATCTAACCTCAATCAGTTTCCCTGTAGTTTCGACCCAGTGATTTGATCCTGCTTTACAAGGCAATAGAGAACAAATTTATTCTCTCCTTTATACTGTATAATAGCCTTTTAGATAGACTGCTATCTTATTTTCCCTTAGTCTTCCTTTCTGTATGCTAAACATATGCAGTTCCTTTCATCCTTGCAGGTAGCACTTGGTTTTCAGTTCCCTCACCTTTTTGAGGCAAAATGGCTTTAGCAACAGACGTACTGGAAAGAGATAGATGGAAGAAGGACATATGAAAAATTAAAAAGTAACATCTTAAAAGCTCTGAATTGAGGAGGAACATTGACACCCCCCCTTATGTTTAATAGTTGTATCTATCACATGAAAAATGTACAATACAGAAACATTGGGAATTGATGGTTGTCCTGGAACATCTCTGTTTTAAAACTAAGGGAGTAAGAGAGAAAGCTTGTTGCAGCCAAATATAAAGTTTAGAATTTAGAATAACAGAGTTGGAAGGGACCTTGGAGGTCTTCTAGTCTAACCCACTGCTTAGGCAGGAAACCCTTCCACCAAAAGTAGGCTTGTTCAGATCATTTCTGAATGTGAACTGCCATAACTCTGTAAAGGAGTAATAATTGTGAATAATCACTTGTTTTTAATTTTTTCCCTTAATTATTATTGCCTTGTCTTTAATTATTATATGCCTCGAGTGATATGTAAGTACCAGAAAACTCAGATACATGATATATATAATCTATAGTTTATTAATTTTTGGCATAGGTAACTCTGGGCCTGATTATATTTTCAGGTAATTCCTTATTCAACGAAACTTAATTATTCTGTTGAGCCTGGACGAACAATTATTGTTAAAGGAGAAGTTAAAGAAAAAGCAAATGGGTTAGTACATTTGGAATACTGCATTATTTGTAACAGTGAATATTTTACATGCTGGTATTATTTCAGTGGAGGCCTTTGTAATTTATCCCTAAACTTCTAGAGAAAAACCTTACCGAGTTCATAAAGAAACCCTACCACTCCCTATATATATGTCTTTAACCTAAAACCATGCAATTAATATCACACCCAGATTTGCAATGTTAGAGGATGTCCACAAACATCTACTTATCTGGAGGACAGTTTTACTGTGATTTTGCTAAATGATAAATTTTCCCCACATCAGTCAAGATCTTGTTCTCTATACTGTATGTATTTGCCTGACCCAGATATTAGACATGTTGGTTATCCTTAACTTTAGATATGTAAAGCCTTTAATAAATTTGCTTCTTCCCCTCCGTCCACCAATTGATTCAATAATAGTTCTCTCTTAGGAATGATTTTTGGGTCTAGTGTAGATATGTGTGCCTGAGGGATACTGTACTAGCCTTCTGTCATCTGTTCAACATAATTCCCACCTGCCAACTGTTTAAAACAGACATGTATTCACTGTAATGTCTTACACTGCAATGTCTTAGAGCATAGTTCTAAGTCGTTATGCCCCCAGCTTGCATGGAAACTTAACAAGTGTTGTTATCTCTTTTTTATTTTTATTTTATTTTTTATTTTATTTTTTATTCTTAAGAGTTTAGAGTATAAGAGCTGGCAAGTGTGTGCGTGGGAGGGGAAAGTTTCTGCTTTAGCTCTTCTCACTCATCTTTTTGATACATGTCCTCCGTGTGTAGAGGACATTTGTAAGAGATTCTCTGCTCCAGAACAATGATGTAGATTCTATTACACAGAAACATTTAAGGTGGATCAGTCAAAGGTGTAATAAGTGGCAGACCACCAATATTTTACATTGATAACACTTAATATTATTAACCTACTTTGATGTATTGCAATAAAATAGGGAAATAATAGGGGAAAAAAGGGTTATTATCTGGCAGGGAAGTGTTTATTGCCTACTCTATCAACCTATATTCTGAATCAAAGGCAGGAAGATTTCTATAAAATAGTTGAATTGTGGACCGATTGGTGGCTGTGATTTTTGTCATAACAAAACCTGAGCTATGGGTCTCCAACATTGAGGCAATCTATTCATCAAGACTAGGAGTGAAGCTTCAATTTGAAAGTGAGTTAAATGTTACCAGCAAAGTGATAGTGAAGATTGACATGAAATGGAATGTTGGCAGGAGAGATGAAAATACAATTCAATCCTGGGTGAAGGCATGAATGAACTTGGAAGGAGAACTAATGAGAGCTTCACAGCTGAACATAATAGAGGCCACTTAGTTGGAGGAAGGCTAAGGCTACGTAACTGATGTCACAATTTTTATTTTCAGCTTTACAATTAACCTTAAGCCGAGTGAGTCAAGTGATATTGCTCTTCATTTGAATCCCCGAATAAAAGATAATGTTTTTGTGAGAAATTCTTACCTGTTCAATAGTTGGGGAGAAGAGGAAACATCTATTGCTCATTTTCCTTTCAGCCCAGGAATGTATTTTGAGGTAGGAACGAAACAAGATTACTGGACTGTATATTTCCTATTAATGTTTTAGATTTTAACCGAAACTATTTATTTATGTCTACTGTATGCCAAGTCACAATGCTGGAGTTGAATGGCCATATAAATAAATAAATGGCATTAATAATTCACACATTTATGAATTATTTGTGATAAAGGATAAAGGAGGAGGGGAAAAATACTATGAAATGTATGGAAAAACACATATTTGGACCATGAAATGTACGGAAAACTATACATGTGGACTTCAACTTCCAAATTCCTGAGTCAGGATAGCTAGCTCAGGAATTCTGGGAATTAAATACACCTATATTAGATGGTCAGTTATAGCTCTTGGATGTACATAAATTGGTAACTATCTAAAAACAAGATGATATTCAGACGTTTGCATTACATGTTCTTTTTTTTCAAGATTTGAAGGTTTGGCAAGCTACTGGATGCAACAGAAAAAATAGAATATCGTGCAAAAGTTCATTTATTTCAGTAATGCAACTTAAAAGGTGAACCTAATATATGAGATAGACTCATTACATGCAAAGCAAGATAGCTCAAGACGTGATGTGTCATAATTGAGATGATAATGGCTTACAGCTCATGAAAACTGCAAATCCACAATCTCATGGTTCTATGTACCATCCTTGTTTTATTGATTGCATGCAATATTCTAATTTTGAGATTGTGGATTTGTGGTTTTCATGAGCTGTAAGCCATAATCATCACAATTATGACAAATCACGGCTTGAACTACCTTGTTTTGCATGTAATGAGTCTATCTCATATATTAGTTTCACCTTTTAAGTTGCATTACTGAAATAAATGAACTTTTGCACCATACTCTAATTTTTTGAGTTTCACCTGTATTTGTAGCTTCAGTTTTGCAACTCAATGTGTTGTAGACAAACAAGTTTTATGGATACATTTAGAAAATTGATTTAAACACTAAATTGTTCAAGGGATATAGTGAAGTAGACTGCTTGATTTGATAAAGGATTCCTGAAAGGTCAATCTTAATTTAATGGCATTACATTGCATTTGTATTCTTTCCTTTCCAAAGTCTTGAAGCGCCCTATAAGTTGTCTCAAATGTGTTTTTGAGGAGGCAACTGGACTTTGTTTTTTCTTTTGAAGATGTTGCACTTCTCATCCAAAAAACTTCTTCAGTTTTGACAAGATAGTGGGGAGTTCTTCAGCTTCTGTCAGAGCCGAAGAAGCTTCTTGGATGAGAACCTAAATGTATTCAAAAGAAAAAAAAGAAAGTCCAGTTGCCTCCTGAAAAAGCACCTTTGGGACAACCATCACTGGTTGACTGAGAATCTCTACAGACTTTTTGCCCCATAAGTTGATTCTATTGCTATTGACATTATCCTTCTGAATTTCAGCTGATAATTTTCTGCAAAGATCATCAATATAATGTTGCTATCAATGGCATGCATATCCTAGAGTACAAACATCGATTTAAGCAGCTTGACAAGATCCGTATACTGGAAGTCTTCGGGGATATTCAACTCCTAGATGTGAGATGTTGGTAATTGTGCAGTTCCTGTATTTTATTAATTGCTTGCAGAGAATCATCTTGATGTAACAAAAAAGAAGATTGCAGAAATTTCTCTGTATGTGATCGCTTAAATTAACTGAAGTACTATATTTAATAACTAACCATAAAATGATCTAAAAATTTATAGTTTACTAACTACTGACATCGTGCCTAGATGTAAATGACATATATGAAGAACATTGCCTGCTTTTATAGTATTCTAGTGTTCATAGTGAATGGCTTGATTCTCAAGGTGTACACCCATTAGATTTTTATAAAGCTCATGAAATTTATGATTAATACTATTATCCTTGAAATATTCTGATGTTACAGCTGAAAAATACTCTTAGAAGCACCAGTATTAAGTTGCAATCCAGTATACACATAATTGGAAAGAAACTACACTGAACTCAATAAGGATTGCCTCATCAGTGTTCAGTAAAATTAGTAAGCTTCCGCCTATTTCTGTGCAATATATAACATGTTTACATTAAGATTGTTTACCTAGGCAGCGGTTTTTGTATCTCAATCTACTGCCTAGCATTTTTTAAAATCTATGTTCTCAAAAATATCTGTAAACAGTTCTGATATGTTCAGAATCAATTATAATTTTCTGCTGAGCTTTATGGAGAATGTATGATTTTCCAATCTATAATTAAAATTCTGAAAGTGCAAGCAATGTGGAATCTTCTATTAAACTGTAATTATATCCTTAAAGTGCTTTGGTATGAATAATAGGAAGAACTGAGGGCCAAGATGAAATCAAGTTCTTCAACTAGGACAGTATGAGTTTCTAGATGGGGAAATAAAAGGGTTGAATTTGTTCCCTCAGTTCTAAATCAACGTATACAGTAGATGTGATAAAAGTTTTCTATGTGGCCCAGAGAAGTGATAAGAAATTAAACTTAATTCAGCATAGTAAGTGTAATGCAACCTTTTAAAAACTGCATTAAAAAAGTAAATATAGAGAAGTTAACATTTAAAAATTTGTTCCTTTTTAATTAAAATCTAAATAGTCTTTTTAACATAAATATTGAACAAAATGGTCAAATATATTTGTGAAAGTATACATAAAACAAAGAGTGAGAAAAAGATTGTGTTCTCTTGGTCCTTACAAGTCTTCACCTCTAAACCCAGAAGAGCTGGTGGGATGGGATTAAAAGTAGCTCTGGAGTGGTTCCCCAAGAATAATTTCAAGCTGCTGAATGGTCTTTTGGCACTGATGCTCCACTTCTTCACATTCATCTGCCAAGAAGGCAAAAAGAAATAAAACAATTTAGGGGTCTCTCAATCTGCATCTTCTCTCTCCTACCTTCCAGAGATTTTTTTAGCTGGTTTTCAATTGTTTGGATATTATTATTTTCAAAGGTACCTTTCCTCTCATGAGGAAACTCACACCTTTTCAAATAGATGTCTTAAAATGTATATATCATTGCTATTATGTATTAATCTTAAAATTAAATTTGGAAAAGATTGGGAAACTCCAAGGAAACTTTCCCAGTAGGTTCCAAAGGAAGTGTTCTCAGAAAAAGCAATGACCAGCACCATATTGCAAGGCGTATAAGCTGTAAACTGATTAGTAGTAAAACTACTAATGAAGATGTTAGCTCTGCCCAAGGAAGGAATCCATTTTCTCAGGTTGCAGAAAATAACTTTATAAATAGCTGGGGTTCAATCAATGCTTAATTATCAATTTTAATTTTAGAGATTCCCTATTCTAGCTATTGAACCAACTCAGTACATAGATACACTATGTGTGTGTGTGTGTGTGTGTGTGTACACCAAACAAAACATAAGCCACCTAGACTATTCATTATATAAATTACATTTAATGCTTGAATTAATTCCATTTTCTTTTAAACCCTTACTTGTTTGACACATGACTTTTGAACATAAATACTGTGACATTTTCTTGGAAATAAACTAAAATGCACTGTGATTGACTTGGATTTTGATACATCCTGTACATTTATGCTGAAAACTCGCCATGGAGAGTTTTCCTTATGAGTGAGAGAAATATATATCCTTCAATGAAACTGTTCTTAACTATCTTAGACCCAAGGCTATAAGTGCTCATAGGACCTAAGAATATAGTTTAGTGGGTGGTACCATGCAGCCTGAAGTCCAGGAGTTTTCTATAGAGACAGGATAATTTGTCCCTAAGGTGGAACTGCAGGACAGCCATGCTTTATTAGAAGTAGTTTTATCGAGGAAAAAGTAATTGGATGCAAGAACAATAAGCAATACATTACCTTCCATAAGCTCGGCTAAGAAAGGAATGGATTCTGGTAGTAGCACCATATAATTCTCTCTTATTTTTTCGGCAAGCTCTAACAAAGCCAACAAAGCCGCAAATCGAACCTAAACCAAAAAGAAGTGCAGTCAGGACATTCAAAAGTATTAGCGTAATCAGAATGGCCGAATTCTGGCTCCCTCCTCTGCAACATCTGGGTACAATAAACAACATTCCAGTTTTTAAAGGACTGACCCCCAACATGTATTAAATCGTACTTGCCACCTTGCTTGTCTTAAGCAGAACTTGACATATCTGCCACTAACCTTGGGTGATGCATGCCTCATCTTTAGCAAAATCTGATAGTTCAGGGGCTTCCACAGAGCGTCATCTGCCATTGCGACTGCAAACTGCGCCATACATGGAATCAAATGCATAGACACTCTCTCCTGGAATCTCTCTTCTCCTCCAAGCATGTTTTCCAGCTACCAAAAATAAAATAAAATAAAATAAAATAACTTCCATGCTGAGAGAAAAAAAATGGGGGAAAAAATTCATTTCAACCAACAATGGGCTAGTTAGCCTGACCAAATTCTTTGCTGTTACTTAAAGCAATTTTATGCTGGAGCTTTTAGGATTAGAATAGATTCTCTTATTTTTCTTATCTATTCTTTGATTCTTTATATACTTTTAATACCCCTTTTTTGGAATCCGTAAAAAACACTGCATTTAACCACTGGTTGTACAACACTGGTAGATTGTTGCTTTATAAACAGTACATCACTCAACTCATGTTCTAAGCCAAGTATGGTGATTTGACAATCAGAAAAGCTGAAAAAGGAACCAGCTCAGATGAATAAAGTACATCTGTAAAAATGATCCAAGTATTACATAGCACTATTAAGTAATAATCTAATAAGAATGAGAATGCTCTCTAACCTGATTGACTAAAGGCAGCATCAATGTTTCTGCCCTCTCTTTGCTCACAAAATGATGAGAATCAAAAAGGAAGATTTTGTACAAACAATCAAGGCTATACTGTAGTAATAAGCAACTTTTTTCAGTGTCACCCTCGGAGTCAAAGTAAGCTTCATCTGCATCTGAAATAAACAGCAAAAGGTACAGGAATAAGGCATTAAACTTAGCCGATTATCACTTTGTAGTCTTCATACGATACAAGCAAAGGTAACATTACATTTATAGCATATTTACAATTAAAGCCTTTTGTAAATGGAATATTAAAATACTTAAAAAAGTATTTTTTAAATATTACGGCAATGTTTCTCAACCGTGGCAACTTTCAGATCTGTGGATTTCAATTCCCCAAGGGTGTTGGCTTGGAAATTCTGAGAATTGAAGGCCACATGTCTGAAAACTGCCCTGGGTTGAGAAATAACATATTAGGACAACAAATAATTTATAAAATCTGTGTGATGCAGCATGTTAAACATTTGGGTAATTGTCTTCCAGAATGCCATCCAGATCAAGTTTCTCCCTTTTAAAAAAAATATAGTGCAGAGATGAACTAAAGTATGAGAAGACAAGCTAAAAGCATGACAGATTGTAGAATGCCGAGGAAGAAATGGGCTTTGTTCCATCCATAACTATGTTCCCTAATTGGGCCCACCCTGATACCTTAATTCTGCTTATAGAGTGTTTTTTTTCTGAGCAGCAGAAGTGCTTCACTGAAGCATCCCTTTGAAATTTTTCAAAGATTGAGGCTGGGCTTTCATTTTTTAAAACATAATGAAAATAAGCTCTGAAGAAAAATTAAAAATATGATGATGTTACTTAAGTTTGGGTAATGAAACATCTGAAAGAAAAAAGCAAGTTCACAAAGCACCAAGGACCCCTCATGTCAATCCTGAGCTACAAATTCTCCTTCATTGGAGCTATAAATATGCATTATTGCATTCTTAGTGCATTATAATGTACCTTATTAAAAATATTTTTCTTCCTTGCATTTATTTTAAATTAGATTTTTTACCTGTTTTTGATGTATTGATCTGGTTCAGATTGTCAGCAAAAGGTTTCACTAAATGGCCAGCAAATAGGCTGAACAGCGCTTTTAGCTCGCCAGCAATACAGTCTGCCAGTCGGTAGAAAGTTAACTGTCTATCCTTTGGGGCCCCTTCCGTTCTGGACCAATCAAAGAGCTGAAAGAAAGAGACAAGGGGTGGTTTTTTTGTTTTTTGTTTTGTATCAAAACACAAACAAGAAACCTATTGAGATAGAAGTGTGTTCAAATTCCTACCTTGAAAAACAGGGGCCGGAAAGACATTTCAGAAAGCTTCATGACCATGCTGATTAAACATGTGATAATTCGAGCTTCTATTTTGCCAACCTTCTCTAAATTGTCCTAGAATAAAGCAGGCGTTATCAAAATATCTGTAGCACTGTTTACAGGATTGCGGGCACAATCCTGCCCAGAACTGAGCTTTTTAAACTGCCCCATAAAGAGATTAATACAAAGGGAAACCTCACTTGAAGAGGAACACATTTGTGCTACTCCCAAAAGATCTCATATGCTTCACCTGAGAGTGTTCAGCTCTGAAGTTCAAAGCCTTTGTGAAAAATGCTGTTAGTTCAGATTGATGAGCAGAGAGCTGACTTTTCTCCAGAGTTACAATGTGCTCCTTCAAAATATCCATAATAGTACCTACATCATTCTAGAAGAACAAACAAATAAAGATACAAGTTCAGATTAATACCCAAGGGGATTCAAATTATTACACAAATCTGTCCAAATTGCTTGAGTTTCCCTTCAAAAAGTTGATAAGCATCTTTTCTTAAGGAAAACCTTTGGTCCAGGATAGTGTGAAATTTGAGAGCCATAAGGAACATGACCCTGGCTCCTTTTCCTCCTTGCCCAAGAAAAGAAACTAAGCGCCAAATCCAAGGCCATGATAGAGCACAGGTTAGCCGAGTAAAGGATGCAGCCTTTTGTAGGTGGAATTATGCTTCCTTCTCAATGAAGTGTAATACCACGCATTTTCTGAACTCCATTATTGCCTGAGGTAATATATTGACTATATATGTATAGAAATATAGCAAGAGATATGTTGAAAGAACCGAGGCACATCTCACCTTAGAA